CAAAATGAAATGCCGGCGTTGGACTCATTTATCTCAGTATCTAGAATTTTCAAAAAGTCTGAGTTAGTTTAAGGTTCAACAAGGTTTTTGTAGCGCATATTATCACGTTGTTACAAAATTTCCCCTTCTTTTTGACGCTTACTTCAAAACAATGTTTCAAATATTGTAAGAATTCTGGGAGGATATGAACAGCTTGGGTCGATAAGAAACAGCATTTCTGACACCTTAGTGTTCGCTCCTAAGCGGCCAAAAATTTGGTGGACGGGCTCATGTCGCATGGATGGAGATCTGTGTCCTGAGTACTATTGCACATCGATTCACCTACGTTATCTTTGCCTTTAAGACACTCTATAAGGGTACGCCAGCCACGTTTCACCTTTTCTGTATTCCTCGGACGCTTTAAAGGGTTTTTATCGTCTTTGTCGACCAATTTTCGACCATGGGATAACAATAATGAGCCTCTAGCCAGTTGTTGATGGACTAAATAACTAGTGTCCAATGGCTGAAGGCTTCTTTGCGGTTCTGGTAAATCGGTAAACTTTTGAAAAGAGGTAGGAGGGACTTAAGCAAGAGAGCACCGTAATTGGTTTGGCTTGATTCATCTAAAATAGAATTGTTTTTCAAATAATTTTCGAGCTCAAAAAAGTGTTTTTTAATGACATAACAATTCATTTTTCCAGCCGTAAACTATATGAAACTGAAGTGATTACGATGAATGAGGTCTCGGCAAGAGCTTCTATATGGTATACAGGGAACATCCGGTCAAAATATGTTAGAAGTGAATTAGAGAAATTTTGTAAATCAAAATTTTTAAAGATAAACTATTTTTTTGCTTTCTCCTTTGATAGACGCTATCGCCAAATGAATATATGAATTGTACAGGAAGCAGCATCCCCCAGAGTCAAATATCCTGCCCAGCTTTGTACTTTGCTGTTCAAAATATTGTATGTTAAACTCTATATGAATAAGCGCGAAGCTGACCATACAGCAATGCTAAGTTGCGTTAAAATGGATAACAGAAGTGATAATTTGCGCATTTACGAGAAATCGCTAGGCTGCAAAGGGATCGGAATGAATTTGCCTGGAAGATAAAGATGAGGCTTAACTTAAGGAGTTACTAAAATGGAAAATTTAGGCTCTTGGTGGTGGCGTAACCTCACTAGCCACAGACTACAACCCAGATGCTCTTGATTGTACGGTGGAAACTGGACGATTGAACGGTGTGAAGATTGAGGCTGTAAGAACTGATCTCGATAATGGATTGGATCACCTTGAGGTCAGATTATTAGGAAATCGCTCATCCCTCTCAATACTCGTGCTGACTTTCTCTGAAAACTTTAGTTATAATGCCAAAGAAAGATGTTAGAAATAAAGATGACCTAGAGTCATTTCAGGGCAAAGTTGATATCCTGCTCTTTAATCCTCCCTATGTGCCGACAG